GACACCAAACCATTCCTCTCCTAGGACTTTTAAATTATTAAATCCAGTTCAGCTGGGTTTAATAATTCATTACAATGGTCACAAGGAACTCAGACACCATACTCACAGTTCTGGGGTCTCGTAGGAAAGTTAACAAGTTACAAAGCAGGATCAGAAAAGCACAGAACACAGTTCTTTGATAAGTACAGCCTCTTTTCAGCTGTGCCTCCAGGCAAACCTCTCTCTGGCCCCCAGCCCTTGTCCTGGCCTCTGTCCTTCTCAGGCAATAATACACAACTCTTTTTAGGGCTGCTGATAAATGTTCAGAGGGCACACCACTCCATTATGAACCTCAGCCTGAAAGCACTAGGCTCTAGCTCTATGGGTCAGGAAACCTAGCTTCCCCGATTAAGTTCCTAGACACACCCCACTCTACAAACAAGTCTTCTGCCAAAGCCACTCAGCTTTACTTCCTTTATGGGCTTGGAAGTCCACCACTCTGTCTTGTGCTCTAGCTCTTGGTTCTGCTGCTGCCACCTCTCTGCAGCAACTCTGGTGTCACGGCATTCTGTTCCTGGATTGAAGAGGTTCAGTGTGCCAAGATCGCAGAATCCAAAGGACATGTTCTATTCCTGGCTCTTTCTTCTTGATGATAGTGAGTCTCCCCACTTGCTTCTGAGATAGCTCAACTGAATCATATAACCCATCAGTATCTTCCCCCAACATCTCTTACTAAGATCCATCAGTAAAAAATTGCTTGGTAGGAGTCACAAAGATTATGACTGGAAAGTACGTTAAACAATTCACTGTACTGCAATGGTATATTCAATATTCTTCACCAACAACATAATTCAAAAGTCATTAATTCTTCTCTGGTTTTCCATATTGTCTAGTTTTCATACTCATATGACATGACTGAAATTATCATGACTCAAGTCTGGTACACCTTAGTTCTCAAAGTACCTGTTTGCTTTTTAACACTTTAAAGAGTTATTTTGCAGTGAATTTGCCAAATACAGTGTATTGTTTGATTTCTTGACTCCATGGATACTGATTTTGGATCCAAGGAAAATTAAATTCTAACATCAATATTTTCTCCTTTTATCATGATGTTGTTCAGTGGTCCAGAAGTGAGAATTTTGTCTTCTTTATGTTGAAGTGTAATCCGTACAGAAGCTGTAGTCTTTGATCCTCATCAGTATGTGCTTCAAGTCCTCTTCACTTTGAAATAAGCAAGGTTGTGTCATTTGCATATTATAGGTTGATAATGAATCATTCGCCAATCTTTTTTTTTTCACCATTCAAATCTATATTTCAAGCTTGGGAATGCATATTTGCAGGGAGCAACATGAAAGTATTCATGAAGAATGCACAATCTCTGAAAATTATGAAAACATCCAGCTGAGATGTTATATCCTTTGCTGGCCTCTGGAAATGATGTTTATAACCTAATCTTCAGCATGAGCCTCTTCACTTTTTGACTTCTAAAGAACAAATCCCTTCTTCCACAGTCCATCAGCACCTTTATTTGTTTTCCAGATATTAAATTCTACTTTTGCCCTTTATTTTGAATAGGCTTCCATTCATCCAAAGCCATATCTTTTGGACCCTCTTCCTTTACCTTGTCAATTTCATCCTCCTTATTTTCAGTGTCAGCCACTGGATGTTGTTCACCTTCAAGTCACATTTGATTGACCCAAGTCACTGCAGTTATAAGACATTTGTTTCTCAATGTATTTGGAGCACTCTGCTAGTTCATCCTTGATGGTTCACCACTTGTGAAGTCATTATGCTTCAGCCCAGATCTATCACTTCCACTATGCCTATCAAATTCATGTTTGCAACAGGAATCAAATCCATCTCCTTGTCCCATTCCATGTCCACTGCCTTCTTGACTTTTTCTAAGACTACCACAGCCTCGAATAGACCGGTCAATAATTGTTATATCAACTGAAAACTCTCCTCCACACTTTTCTTCACGTGGTTTTCCAAATTGCCTTTCCCATGGTCTCCTTTCTGGTAGTCTATCAGTTTTTTGCCCCTCACCCTGCAGTTGTTAATCAAGGTCTTCTTCCAACACTTATTTCTTATTCCTTCTTTCTTAAGTGCCACAGGTGGCTGTGTCTCCTCTTGTCAGCCATGCCAGTATTGGGGGGCACTGGGTTCTTGTGGTCTTTTGGGACTCTTTATGTAGTTGTTTGCCAGCCATGTTGGAATTGGTCTCGGCTATGGCCTGAGCTGTGTTCTTTACCCCCAGACCCCCAACACTACCCTCACTGGCTTCTTTTTAACACCTTGAAGATACCCAATTTGTTGTCAAATAACTGGTTGAATGGGTTGATGACCATGCCATCAAGGCCTTCCTATAATTGCCCAGGCTTGATGGTGGCTCCTCAGCTTGTTCCTCCACAAATTGCAGCAGGCCACACTGAGCTCAGAGCACCTGCTTCACCTCTTCCCAAAAGATTGCTGGCCAAGAGAGGTCATTCTCCAATTTGATGCTCTGTTCTTTTCCATGTAGTCCAGTTTCTTGGATTATTTGTTCAGCATACAGATTGAATGCTGATTATATAGTGAAAGGATAACAAAACTTGGATAACACACAACTTCCCTGAGTTTAAACCATGCAGGTTTCCCTTATTTTGCTTCAATGACTGTGTAGTTTTCTTATGAGAAAAATTACATTTTCTGGAATGACCATTCTTCACAATATTATCTATAATTTGTTATGATTCACACA